CTGGACTTGCCGGACACGGACCGAAGACACCCGGTGTTCAACGAGTCACTATTGACACCATATCACAAACCACCCCCCCATCGCTGAGAGAAGAGGCCCGTAGCCAAGATGATCGGAGGAGCAGAGGAGTGGGAAGTCGAAGAGATTGTGAAAGAGCGAAACGTCGGCCGAGGAAAACAGTACTTGGTCAAATGGAAGTGCTGGCCGCATAGCAAAAATACTTGGGAACCATCACGTCACCTTACCCACGCAAAGAAGGTCCTGAGAGATTGGCAGAGGAAACAATCCAACCCAGACACATGCATTCACCTCCTGCCAACGCTCGAAGCCGGACACTGGGATTATCTCATCCATCGCTACAAACCCAAAGACGAGCGCCTTCCATATCCCCAGCGACAACTCTTTGATCCCTACGAGAACGTCTTCACGCCCATTGGCCTAGTCGATGAGGACATCGACCCTAGAGAGGGGGTAATGTCATAATTCGACTCTTTTTCATCTTATCCTCGACGATCTCATCTTATCTGGACACGGATCATCTTATCACGGATCACGGCATCAGACGGTCCGGGCTAGGGGTTCCAGGGGTTATCCTTATCGATTCAAGGCTGCGCGACATATGCTCCGGAAGGTTCTACTACAACCCATGACCAGTGCTCCATGTGGTACATAGCCCGATGACTCATTAGTTGTAGATATGACTCAGACTGGATTTGGGTATAAATACTGTAGCTACTTGGTTGTATTCTCCAGTCTTCGAATTCATTTCTCTTTTCGACTTTGTTTTTGGGTTGATTGTCACAAACTGAGGTGCAAATGTGACCATAATAGGAGTTGATCCAAGTCACAGACCCAGACCAGTATCTCCACTAACAAAGATAACCCCATGTCAAGATAAGATAATTGGGTGGAAAATGATTGGATCATGACATGATGACAGAGACTATAGTTATAAGATAATCTTTAGTACTGTCTGGGCCAACTTATTGATCAAATGTGGAAGTCTTGTAAAGGGGGAGATTGGTTCCCCTCTGGATCCGCACAATGTTTGTAGAGCTACAAATTGAGAACAAGTCAAACCTTGCCACTGGCTGGTCTGCTTCAGAGGCACCAGGATCCCTTCTCCACTCAAAGCGCACTTTGATAGTGACTCCAATCCTGGTGTCTGGAATTGTTTCACCATATTCACCCATGAATTCTGTTGAATGGTGAACATCCGGTCCAATGATGACCACTCTGGCCTTGATGTCCAAAATACTCTGTGGGCTACCACCTCCAACTGGAGGCAGAGTTTTCCGGCATGGTTTGAGAGCAGAGACAGGGACTTTCATCACCTGCATGGAGGGCCATATGTGGGCATGTACTGCTGCAGTTTCTGCGTCCGGGATATTTCTCCCCACTACAAAAGCAGGTTGTCCCGCACCGCGCTCATAGAGCTGTGCGCTGAGAGCATCAAGAACTCGACTTCGGGGTGCCTTGGACTTTCTAGAGCTTGGTCCCTTCACTTTTTCTCGCTTCGTTTTTTCGCTGGCTTCATACCCCTTTTCTCTCTTGAGCTGCAACAGCCTCAAGGACGCAGCATCATCAATCATGACATCGACACGCTTGCCCAACAAGCTTTTCAGACACAACCAAGATCCATCTTCTTGGGACGCGAGGTTCACCTGGCTCTTCGAATTGCACAGTGGGACAGGAGCGTCCGGGGGCGGAGATGGTGTTCTCGGTCGACTGAAGAGGGGCAAGTTTGATATATTGCGAAAATGAAGTGCTTGTCTCAACCGAAATCCCGATCTGAAGGATCTTAGAGGAAGCGTCAAAGCAGATCACTGCACGTACCGTAATTCTCGCACATCATCGACTTTCATTGTCTCGTTCTTCATGGTACCGTCCAATCCCACTGTAAGCTCGACATCCTCTAGTGGGTCCCGTTGGCTGACTTCCGCCCAGCGGGCAGCCATTCCCACATCAGGACGCAAATCAAGAGTGCTAGGCACCGAACTCGTGTGCTTGTAATCCACGATGCGGCCCCGTTTTCCTTTGAGCGGCCCTGCCACAATTAACACCTCGAATTTTCTCAATTTCAGCACATCGTTTGTGAACTCGGTTTTCAATTTTATTTTTTCCTCTTGCGAAAGCATCTCGATGCGTTCTGTTTGTGAGAACGACGCAGATTCCTGAACAGGGAGCGTGCCGAGTGTAACAAGCTGCACTTGCCATCTGGGTACAAAAATCTATTGCAAAATTAGTTCGGTCTTTTCATTTACAGGTATGCATTAACTGACGGGAATGAGAAGAGGTTCTAGGGACCCAAGAAGTTGAGCATTTGAATAGTCTCGCTCTTGGATGAAATTGAAGATGGCTTCTAATGTGGTCTGCCGGAGGAATTAGACGCCGCAAGCAGTGCATAATGTGGCTGCTTACTAGCTGAAGACTTAAATGACCGTCCTCTTCAGCATTCAGCACGACTCCTTCCATCTCGGCATGTTGACCATACATGATTCGCACTACGTCTGCTGAGACATAATGGATGCAGACATTGCCGATCGAAACATGTAGCAATTGGGGTGGATCTTCATGCACAGTGACGATATGGAGAATTTCCCCTTCGGTTGCACAGACTCGACCCACCAGGCCCTCCCTTGCCTGAGCAGTAGATCGCACGACAATCACCCGATCTCCCTCCTTTATGTTTCGGGGAGGAGAGAGGGGATGCAGCCTAAGGTCTTTGAGGGAACACTCAGAGGAAGGAGCGAGGCGGAGGTGCGTGCTGGGGTCGCCGGTGTCAGTGTATCCTTTGGTAATTACGGCCTTGTTGTGCGCGTAGTCGATGCCGCGAATAAAGACATCGGAGGCTCCCCTGCCTGTGTCGTACTCCAGGGACTCATATGTATCAAGGATTGCTCGATCCCCTGCCTGGAGAGCATAACGCGTGGTGTTCTCATACGCTTGCGCAAGAAAGGGTGAATCCAGGATCAGATGCCTCTCCTTCCCCGCCGCAGCGGGTGTACGGTCATCTCTCAGAGAATCCAGATCGACAAAAGGTCTCAGTTCGTCCCAGGGTGGAGGTTCAGAGAGGAAGGCAACGGGACGTGGATGGTGAAAGACCTTGCATTGGATCTCCTCGAAAGGTCCCAAAAAATAATGCTTCCCCCAGCGGACGTGCTGCCCTATTTGTTCCCATTTCGACCCCTCCAGCAAATTCCGGCTGAGAAAAGGACTAGGGGGAGGGCGTTGACCACGACATGCGCGGTTGCGTTTGAAATTGATGCGGGGGATGACAAGCAGTGTGTCCGCATCGCATACGAACACAAGATCCCCTCGGTACAGCACGGCATGTTGACTCAACCTGAATGCCTCCGCCCCTACGCCAGTCACGCGCGCCCAGCCGCAGCGCTGAGCCCGGATGGAGAGGGAGGCCTTGACGTCCCAAACGGAGTCCAGAATCACCGGGACGCTCCTGGAGATGCTGCGAAATCTGGGGTAGGAGACTATTCCATGGGCGAAGGGAAGTTTGCTGGCTGTGCTCGAGAACGAAGAAAGAGCGGACGCAGACGGCGAATTCTTGAACGCCGAGAATAGGCGACCGGCGTCTGTGGTCTCGACGTACACAAAGTCAGGCACGAGCGGGTTGGTGTATGCAGCGACAACATCGGGCATGCGCTCGCAGTGCCGGATGAGCCAGAGCACCAAATCTTCCTCGATCCAACGAGGGACAGGAATGCGCACTATCGGCGGGCTTTGCACCACCAGGGCTTGGCTGAGAGCAAACAAGCCGTCCATCTGTGCCTCATCATCCGGTAACTCCATTCGTGGCTGATGGGCCAGATGCTCTAAAGATGTCGCCAGCAGAGCACGTTCTTCGAAACCATGCTGATTCGCTTCCTCTGCACTCAGCACGCCGTCCATTTCGTTGTCCAGATCTCCTTGTTCCGAGCCGACTTGCATTCCATACAACGCTCCCTCGTCGATAAATTCGGCCATAATGCTGTCCATATCCAACTCATTCTCGTCCGCATCTCCGTCGTCATCCCTTGCAGATGTGTCAAGAAATTCCTGTGATCGAAAATGATTCGTCAGCCAAGTACACATGGAAACAGACCTACAGAGGCCTATGGGCGGCGCCTGCGCGAAACAACTCGCTCTCCCAACTGGCGCTCACCATTGGTCTGATGGTCCTCTTATTCACTGTGGTCAATTCCGTGATAGCGCGTTTCAGAGAATGGGATGAGCAAGCACAAAAAAATACACTCTGACCAATCACTTTGGCATGCCCACAACTGATGGTTGCGGTCACGGCACGGCAAGTCCCGTGTTAGCGATCATCAGTTGTGGACGATGAGCTCCGAGTAATGTCACTTCTGGGCCAGTTGACTCAGACGCAAATGCCAATTAATAAGACTCACACCTATCTGGACCTGTATCGAGCTCACTATTGCAGAGGTCTCCCAGATTGCCTCCTTCTAGTCCGACTCCGGGGTCTTCAATGAGAAGTGTCACCAAACTTCACTTATTTTGGAACGATCTTGAGGCACAGACCGTAAAATTGACGCGGCTACCATCAAAATAAGTGCGAGCAAAGACTCATTCAAACAGATCAGCCGTGACCGGTTGACCTGGAAGACGGCAAAAAATATAGAAGGTGAGAAGAACAAGAGCCGTGACATCGTCGAATACTCCAGTTGAAGCAAGATCAACTTGAGTCTATCAAGGCGATGTGTTGACAGAGCTGGCCTATCTATGCGAGGTCACGTGAAACGACCTCGACAGGCTCGCTGACAAATCCACGGTCTTTGGGTACACGTGATCACAATGAGCACTCAGTGGGTGCGACAATCTCAACCATTCACATACGGCTCGTCTCAACCCGAACCGCCTCGAATCGACTCACCTCGCGGTAACAATATGCTACTCGTAGGGCGGATCGGATTTAGTTGTGACCTCTTACTCACCCACGCTCTTTTTGAAAACAATGCACCGCACAACTGACAACCGCCAGTAGATTTAAATATCAGTGAATAATTGGGGAGTGTTACTACAGCTACACCGGGAGCGCTAAGTATACCGCGGTTACAAACTTACTATGTTGAGTGGTCACAGCAGTCAATAGTAATCCTGGGCACCATATCCTTCCCAGCGCCCGGTGCCGCTTCTCCCAGCCGTCCATGATTCAACGAGGGTGCGGAGAACGTGAGACAAAGCGCACTCACGAAGAAACAAAGTTGACAGGCGCAGACATCCACAAGGACATATACTCGTCGTCCAGACTCATGTCCACCGGCACTTCGGCGTGGAGAGGAATAATCGGACTAGTCAGAGGACCCTCCTCGGGTCGCTGTTGATCCGCCGGTCCACTATTCACCACCGTTTCCTGGGGGTAGAACCCGGGACTAGGTCTATGCGCGGTATCTTCCCAAGCCGCGTTCACAAGCGAAAGCAGCAGCTGATACAGTCGTAAGATCGACTGGGACCTGAGTGGATCGCGGTCAGCATGAGATGGCTGTGCTCCACCGTCCTTGCCTATGCTTCCCGATCTCCAGCAAGCGAGATGCAATGTCAAGATACGCCAGATCCTTGGCTATAGACTGTCCGGCCCGCCGTTGGCCGTACATTCGCAGAACTAGAACCGTCGCAGCGATGAAAACACTGGTCTGAGGAAACAGTGAGAAAGGTGTGGACGTTCGCAAGTAGGAGGACATACATTGAGCTTGAGGGAGGGGATGTTCATGTACTTCCGTTTGATCCAAAAGTCTGCAATATTGAGCATAGAGTGTGCGGCATTCACACAGATTGACAACGACGGTGCCGCCAGCACGTTGTCCTTCTGTATGAACGGTCGGTGGATCTGCAAAAGGTCATATGAATCAGCTCCATGGTACGGCCTCACTGACCATGATCTGCGCATGGTGATAGTCCGCATTCAAAATCGCAGCTTGAACGAAGAGGCTATGGCTTTCAGGCGGGTTTTGGGAGTCCCATCGTACTGCGGCTCGTCAGGAATCATGCGACACACATAGCAACAGTCCACTCACAGAACGAAGGGAGGGAGGCCAACCAACCGTTGATCTGAGAGTCGAGTTCGGCCACCACCTGTTGCTCCCACTCTGCACTTTTCCACCCGAGAAGAATCTTGGCCTTCTTGGAGGCGTATAAACGACGCAGAGTGTCGCCAAGTATCTGTTGCGAAACGTCGATAGAACATCTGGACAATGATCGGATCCACAAACCTCTGATAGACGGACGGAATGCACAAGAAACGAAAGCAACGAAGGCTTCTCTACGGGCTGAGTAAAGCCCTGATCCCAGTATTCGTCATCGACTTCCAGCGGCAGATCGACATCGAAGCTAAGACAGCGTGAGGCGATTCACCGAAACAGACATTCTAAAGATACCTTTCTGGATGAAGACCTATTGGCCGGCCGAGGAAGGCCGAGACAAGATTATCAAGCCAAAAGAATGCCCTGACTGCGCGTCAGAAAACAGCGAGGGCGACAATGATGAAGCACAACCAAAACGTCCTGTTCCATGACTCGAATTCTGCGTTCAAGTTATCAGGGTCGCGCTTCTGGAAATGATTTCCGCGCTGCTGCAAAAGGCGGATACCGAGGCCCTTGGGAAGTGTTAATCCTGTGCGAACCGCTAGTAATGAAACTCGCACAAGGTAACCCCAGGCTGAATGAGATGCGGACGACCCCACGCAGAACAGCACAATTAACTGCCAGGAGATGAACAGGCACATAGCAGAGCCAGACCACACCGCTTACCGCGTAGCTTTGTACTTCAAAGAGAGTCGCACTGAACGACTGATCGACTTGGATTTGTGCGATGTAATTCCAGCCAACGGTTACCTCCGCATGACAATTATCCATGACACGCGGATCGGACGAGTACTGAGAAACATTGGAATGGGGGAGACATCCCAAACTGTCGGCAACGCACCTGCGCTGATAGCGCCAGCACCGAGAGGAGCAATGCTCCAAACTTGTCATCGGAGAGATAAAGACCGTCGGCGACGTGTGCTTCAAATGTCGGGCGATGGAGCATTGGGAACGTGGGGTGTATGTATGTCCAGTATATTTTGACTAGATTGTCGATGAGATCGGGAGGAGGGTAGACGTAGCACGGTTGGTGATGAAAGTATGCTTCGTGTTCCCACTGCAGCGCATCAGATCGTGATGTGGGGCACGAAAGGCGGGGACTGACTGACCGAATGGAAGTTCCACAGCACCATCAGGGATGGAGACTCTGGCTGTGCGGCGTTGCCGAGTAGCTTTTCCTTCACCTGGAGACAGACATAGAGTCAGAATGAGAGTTACGAGGTATCCGACGCACAAGCATAGCATTACGCGCAAACGCGAAAGTACTCGAGGGCCCAAAGTATAACTGGAATCGCGGCAGCTTGAGGGAAAACTGGCGAAATTGGCTGATGAGATCGGTCTGTGTGATCCCATCCTCAGTCGTGGGTTGTTCCTGCACCTCATCGCCGTCATCTGGGGATGATTTATCGCCTGGGGAGTCGTGCTTCTCGATATTCAACGGCTGAGAGCACAGAGCACAGACGGAAAGGGATCGTAGTTTTGCCTCCAACGCGTCGATCCTTGCCTGGAGACTTTCGACATCGTCGCTGATAGTGTAGTCTCAGTCGTTGAACCCGTCTTCCAGAAAACGCGGGCGAACCCCTTATGGCGCTTGGGACCACGCGTCCTGACCGGTATGTCATACTGCCAGTCCTCATCAGACGGAGCAGTGGCGAGTCTCCCGGGAGTCGGCCCAAACGTACCGAACAGACCGATCCAAACGAGATGCAATGCGAGCAATCATCTCCTGGTCGCTGGGGCCCGTCACCTATTCGTCCCGCTGAGCTCACATCCCGGTATGTCGCACGACGAGCCTACATCTGACTTTTGAAGCTGCATGTGAGCCCCAATGGCGGAGGTATGATCTAGAACCAACCTTTTCTTTTGCGACAGAAGTCGCAACTTCTCGTGGATCGGCGTATCTTCTGCGCCTCTGAGGGAGGCATACGGAGCGAGGCGGTGAAAGGCGGAACCAATCGAGTAGGAGCAATTTAATAAATAACGAGGTTTAGTAAGCGCAGCCAAACAAGAATCCACATGCCATAGTACATTGAACATATTTACGCTGAGACCAAATCTGGCTTCACGCGCCAGTTGACTATAGGCATCTTGTACCCAGAAGCTAGCCGTTCGAGGTCTGCAGGTTTGAAGTAATGAGTGGCGACTACAAGGATAGATAAATCACATGATATGCGCATGACACGGCGTCACTCGCCTTCCATCAACCTCCATCAACCGCGCACGCGGCATCATATATCATTATGCCAGCGAGCTCCAATCCTGATGTGGACGAAATCGGTCCCAAGATTCACTTTATGTTCAATCCGGATGCGCACGAGATTGTGTACATCAAACGCTGACGTCTGATGTGGCATGCGGACCTCGTATGTGATCGTCCGATCCTGGACGTGGACGCAAAAGCTGAGGCGTGGATATGTACGTGTCTTTCAAACACAGGCCTCTACCTCTTGTGACTCCTGGCTTGGAATCTGTGACGGAACAGCCAAGGAGCGCACCACCACTGCTTGAAGCCAATGATAGACTTTGTCATGAGTCTCCCCAAGGCAAATGTTGCACTCAGCACACTTGTGCCTCATACCGGGGGTGCTTGTCAATAAGGAAGTGTGTGCTCGCATGCCAGGGCCCAGAGATCAATATTGTCCGCATCCGGATTGCACATGGAGCCAATTTCGGGAACGTCTCCGTCCGCATCAGGATCGGAGGTCATATGCCACTTTTAACGATCACGCGTAGGCTATTTAAGAAGAACGTCCCCGCGAGGTGGGGTACGGGCTTCCAGCGGCTTGTCTCCAACGCACATCGCACAGCATGGCCGTTCTCAAGGGTGGTGCCGTCTTCACGGCGATTGCTTCTCTCGCAGCCGCTGCGGTCCCCGCGTCCGCCGATCTTCCGACCATCACGCCCCAGTACCTCGCGACGGCGGGCAACAGCTCCCTCTTCACCCGCTGGAGGCCTCGCTCGCACTACCTCGCGCCGCACAGTTGGATGAACGACCCTTGCGGTGCGCTCTACGACCCAGCTACCGAGACGTACCACCTGCACTACCAATTCCATCACAACCATGTGAACTGGGGCAATGTGTCCTGGGGCCACGCCGTGTCTAAGGATTTGTTCCACTGGACGGATGTGCGCGGCTGGCAGAACGCCTCGTCTGTGTCACTCGCGTCCGGTGAGTACGCCGCCGACCCTCTGTCGCAGTTCAGCGGCACAGCACAGCCCGTCAACCTTGAGGGCGTCAGCGATGGCACCCTCCTGACCTTCGGTACCGGCATTCACCACCTGCCCACGAACTGGAAGCAGCCATACATCCCTGGCACTGAGGTGCAGGCCATGTTCACCTCCGGCGACGGAGGTTCCACCTGGGATGAAGTCGGCACTGTCATCTCGAGTCCTCCCGAGGGCTGGAACGTCACCGGCTGGAGAGATCCCAGCTTCTTCCCCTCCAAGGAGCTCGACAGCCTCCTCAAAGCCAGCGAGCCCCACTACTACATGGTGCTCGGCTCCGGCCTCAAGACCGGCGATGTCCCCGCGCAGCTCCCTGGCGCTGGACGTCCGGGCTTCATCGGACCGCGCATTCCTCTGTACTCGGCCCCCTCCTCCAACTTAACCCAGTGGACCTTCCTCGGTGCCCTCTGGGAGCCCACCGCAAACTCCTCCCTCGGCAAGCCCGACATCACGGGATCGTACGGCTACAACTTCGAAGTCAGCAGCTTTTTCGATTTGCCGATCGGCAGCACGGACGAGAAGGCTTGGTTCGTCACCATGGGTGCCGAGGGTGGAAACACCACTCAGCACTGGAAGGAGCAGTGGGCTCTGTGGAACCGCGGAGACCTCGCTCGTCGCGACAACGGCTCGGTCGAGTTCACCCCCAACTCTGGCGGCGCTATTGACTGGGGCATCTCGTACGCCCAGGCTACTTGGAAGGACACCTCCAACAACGACAGACGCGTCATGTGGGGATGGGCCAACGACGACATCCTGGGCGACTACGTTTACAACACCTCCAAGCAGTTCGGCTATCAGGGCACTTTGAACCTGCCCATGGAGCTCTACATCAAGGAGACCAAGGACGTCCAGAATTGCGGCACGCAGCAGGACGGAAGCGTCTGCATCAAGAGCCACGACGGCCACACCGTCCAGACTCTCGGCGTTCGCCCTCTCCCCGACGTCATTAAGCACCTCCGCAAGGGCGCTAAGCATCACGATATCAAGATCGGCCATATCACCGACTCCGCCAAGACCGCTTCAGCCAACCTCGGCACCTCCTACGAACTGACGGCGACCCTGAGCGACTTCTCTGGCCCCGCCGGCATCATCCTCGCCCAGAGCCCCGACAACGCTGAGTACACCACCATCCGCTTCGACCCCGAGACTGCAGAGATCAGCGTCCTCCGCACGCACAGCAGCCTCCTCCCCAACTTCAACACCGCCGCCTTTGTCGGCCACTTTGAGCCCTACCAGATCCACAAAAAGAGCGCCAACACGACTGTCACCGAGCCTCTCAATTTCCACATCGTCCTTGACAACTCCCTCCTCGAGATCTGGGTCAACGAGCGTTTCACGCTGACGGCGCGCATTTACCCCTCGCGCAACGACAGCACCGGCCTGAGCTTTTTCGCCGCCGACGGCGGCAAGGCCACGTGGTCGGACGTCAAGGTCTGGGCCGGCCTCGCCCAGGCCTGGCCCGAGCGGCCTGCGGATTCCAGCGCTCCCTTGCTCTGGGACACGGCTGAGCAGACGAACAACTACACCTGGTGGGCGGGGTACTAGGGTAGAGTGAAAACAAAACTAGGGCTTTTGGCTTCCACATGACGATATAACGCAAAATTCAGAGTAATGCTTATTATTATCACCAAAACTAACACTTGGAACAACACAACGTTTATATGAGCCTTTTCTCGTGTAATATAATCGACCGATCTCAGCATGTAGTCAGTGATTGAGAGTTCCTTTCCACACTTGATTGTTTCTCGACCAATTTTGGATGCATAATGTCCAGAGCTTCGAGCTGCAATGCTAGATATGCATAGAATATGTGGGCTAAAGATTTGAGCAATCAGGCGAACAGACATAAGAGAGCTGTATCAAAATTCACTGCCCGGCTTTCATGCCCACTTTTCATGCTGATGTTAGACCTCACTGAGAGCCGATTTTCGGGTCAGATTCCGCAAGATACATGATCAAAAGCTTGGAGCGTGCCCAGGCAGGTTTTGAGCCTTATCCGGTCAACAGACCGGTCAGCATTGCCATCACAACCTCGAAGATCATATAGAGCGACAATAATAATCATTGCAACCCCTCAATAAGGAAGCCAGTATGTGTTCGTAAGATCGTCCCTAGTGACCTAAAGTGTCATCAAGACCTTCCTGGAGGCGTGCAAAGCAAGGATAGTCTGGATAGTAATGACAACTAAGTTGTCGAGCACATCCCGTGAAAAGGAATGTCCCATCTTCGTGACTCAAGCGCTCTTCCCTGCCTCTGGAACCCTAGATGCAATCGCGTCAGACCGAGACACACCAGCTGTCGCACCGATCGCCGGACTCACTCTTCTCGGAGCGCCAGGAAGAACGCGGATGTGTACTTCGAGTCGAGGAACTCATCCATCTGCACGATCTTCTCGCCGGCGAAGTAGAACGTGATCATGTACTCGTTGTGGTACGCCTTGCCCGAGACCGACGCGCCGTCCGACTTGACCTGGAGACGCAGACACAGCATGAGGGGGATGCAACCGTATGATCAAGGGAAAAAGACTCTCACATGGAACACGACCGCATCCTGCCCATGGACCTCGTTCAAGGCGTAATACTGCCCGCACGCGATCGCCGCCCGATAAGCCTCCGGGTCCGATGGACAGCGGCGCGCTCACCTTCGTCGGCCCGAACACCTTCCCGGAGCCCAGGTTGAACTTGAGCACGCCCAGAAACTGGTCTCTGCCGCGGAACTCCTTCCCGTCCGGCGGCGGGATGCTCCCCGGCAGATACCGGTGCCGGAAATCCGGCGCCATGAGCGCGGCGAGCGCGTCCCAGTCGAGCGCGTTGATGGACTCGAGGAAACCGCGTGCGTTCTCCAGCTGCTTGGGGTTCGGAAGAGACATGGTTCGATTAGAAGGGGCGCGCGAAGCAGCAGGCTGAGCTGAGATCACAGATCACAGATCTGTCATAAGACTCCGCTTCTCGTTGGTGATTTTCGTCTCTGCACATACGGTCAGTCCATGACTCTTATCGAATCAGGCTTGTTTCCTCACCCAATAGGAGCGCGGTGCGTGTTTTATCAGACATGTGATCGTGTCGATGGTCCAGTGGCTGTGCATTTGACGAGTTCGTAAATAGCAGAATGATGTCCACAGTAATTCCGGCCATGTATGTAGGACAAAAAAGCGTATAGTACACATCAGTGATCATGGTCCAGCTTGACCAATAAGCTGGAAACATCCGTGGGGATTTCCGCAGGGGCCGGTTCACTGACCGGCTGACTGGGTTCCGCCTCCTTGAGAGTGTCGCGGTCGTGATCCTCAGTCCTCCCGTCGCATTGCTGATCATCCCTCCCTGGATGACTCTTTCGAGCATACCCCAACGCACACGTGATGACCTGCTCCAGCTGCGTCGGCGTCAGCCCTGTGCCGGACATGATGATACCCTCCTCCTCTACCGCACTGGCAGGTGTCTCGCTCATCGACGAATCGCGGTACCAGTAGTTGTCCTCGGCGACAGGTTTGAAATCCTGGATCAGCACCGCAGGGGGGAGACGGAGAACGCTTTCGTCTCCGATATATAGTCTCTTCTCCTGCACGTCATCCTTCGGGCCCTCGCGGTCACTCTCGTCCTCGTCGTCGTCGTCGCTGCTCTCATCGAACGCCCCCGCACCGAGTCCAGCCCTGACCGGCGTCGGCTCAGCGTACACGATAGGATCGCCCAGAGCCCAGTGCTCCTGCACGCGGCCAACGAAAACCCGCCGCTGAAGCCGTCTCTCCAGGGGCTTCGCCCGCACGACACTCGAGTCTCCGTTTGCGCCCAAGAAAGTCCGGGCCAGTGGCGCGCCATTCACACCGTACATCGTCGCATAGTACGCCTGCGGTGCCCGGAGCGTGATCTCGTCCAGGGGCGTATGCTGCGCCGTCCTCGCCGTCGGTCTTTTGTGCACGTACACATCGCCGCGCCGTTTGGTGCAGATATCGCACCGGCACGTGTCCTGGCATCGGGGACAGTCGTCCGTCGACCGTGTTAGCGCAAAAGGGACCGTGCCAGGGTCGTATCTAGAATGTTGATGAGCTGGACATACGCAGCAGGAAAGCAGAGGACAGCTACTTGACTATCACACATCTCACACAGAATGCATGGGCGCAATCCGTAAACTTCATCGTCGCATTTCCCGTCTTGCGTCGACAGTGGTGGCAGAAATCTTCGTCGGGGTCGTCGCCGGCCGGCCACGGCGGGCCCGTGTATCGAAAGAAGGGGTCCGCACTCAGCTCTTGCGCAGGCGAAGTATCACGAGCAGAGCTGACTGCAACTTTGGGCTTCGGTCGGGGTTTCGGTCCGGGTTTTTGTCCTTGTCGTTTAGTAGAAACTCGTTTCGGCGCGGCATTTGGAGCGAAATCAAGCTCGTCAATGGCGACCATGTCCGCCAATACTCGCCGTTTTCTCTTCCGGGGCGACGTCGAGGCAAGTTCTTCCGGCGGACATGGCAGGTCATCCCCAAGCAGAACAGCAGGGTCGATTGTCCCATTCCACACATCTTCTCTTGGTGCTGGAAATCGCGGCAGCTCATCCAGTTCCATGAAAGCACGGGCAGCAGAGGTATGCATCAAGACCAGCGGCGTGGGATTCTGCAGCAGACTGGTAGCCTGAGCCTTGGGCGACGACTCCTCAGCAGAGTCCATGTTCACGAACATCGACATGAAGTCTTCCTGCTCGAGGATCTGGGGACTTTGCTCTCGCTCTCGCTGCTTCCCCAGCGCCTTTTCCGACAATGGCGATTGAAAGGACAAACAATCGTAGCTGGCGGGCCGTTCTTGCTCTTCCATCGACATTGATGACGGATCCGGTTCGAGAACGGAGCTCCAGGTCGGAAGCTGCGGATAGAATGATTCCTGACCGACCAATTCGTCTTTGAACCCCGGAAGGGAATGTGGTTTTGCATCCGAGCTCGGAACAGACGGCTGAGGATCAAATGGTACGGGGATGGCCGATGGAGGCTCAACGGCATTGCTGTGTGGCTCGAAAGGCTCGATGTGGGGAGTGATTGGACCATCCTTGACCGGTTCCAAGTCGCCATCGTATGGCTTGAAACCATCGTAAATGGCATCAACTTGTGGCTCGAAAACATCACCTTGTGACTCAAGAGGGTCGTCGTGAGAGTCTATGTCACCGTCGGTGTGCGCTGGCGGGGGCGGTGGTTCGATAGCTATGTCGTCCAATATCGATCCCTCGACAGTGGTTTCGACTGCGAATTCCGTTTCCGTCATGAGAGCGGACTTCTCTCCAGGCGATTCATCCAACTTGACCTTCGTCGAAACCCCGCGAGGATGGGACCGGTCCAATTCCACAGCGAACCGCTTCATCAACGGTCGCCCTCTCGTTTTCTTCTCATGAGAGACCAGCAGGAGCCTGTCACCCTCTAGAATGGAAGCGCCACATGTCAGGAGGGATTCCTCGTCTTGTTCGTCTTTGCAAAGGTTCTCTTTCACAGTCCTGGAACGCGGCTCGAAGCAACACGTCCTTCTCCTCCAAGCACGTTGCGCCGCATCGTCGTATCCCGCCGGTATCCCGTACCTCTCACGATTGAGCGCCAGCGCCCGGTATGACGCCCGGTCTGCATCTCTCGTGTCCATGTCGAATTCCAGATAGATCTTAGGCGTGTCCTCCTCCTCCTCCTCCTCCTCCTCGTCTAGCAGCGACGTCCAGGTCAGTTTCGTTCGCGACACTCCATCTTTTCGAGCGCGTTTGAGCGGTCGGCCGACCGACTCTCGCATCGGCCGTTTTCCTTTGACTTTCGCGGAAAGGGCGGAATACGGGGTATGTGACATCGCGTTTGCCATATAGCTTGAAGAGAGCGCATCAACCGCATATTCCTCCACCGATGAATCCTCCGATGTTATCTCGAACCGTTTCACTCGAGGTTTGGCCTTTCTCCTCTTGTGCAAGAGATACGGAGCAGATGGAACGAGCACATAGTCCATGACCAACCGCGTTCGCGTGCGCTGCCTCCCTCTGAGCTCATTGAGGCGCGGCGTGGTGCGGTCCAATGTGTCTGCTGGGTGACGCTCTTTGCGGATCTTGTGTGCTTTCCCGACACCCGGTGCGATCGTTCTCCGGATCCGCGGAGGAGCTGGTATCGCCGTTTCGGGGCCAGGAGAGAAGAGATCGCGGGGATTGGTGATTGTAAAGGATGCTGGTGATGAGCGGGAACGCGAGCGAGACCGAGACGATGTCGAATGAGAAGAGGAGCGCGTAAAGAGCGTGCTTTTCTGCAGTGCGGGATGTAAGAATCAGCATTAGATGTTATATACGTCGCACACATACCGGCTCGATGCCAACTTCATGGCGCGGTGCCGCTAAGAAAACATCATCCTGCGGTTTTGCCTTTCCCTGCACGCCCCTCGTCAGCAAGTCCTCCTCCTCCTCCTCTTCCGATCTCATCAGGGAGGAAAATAGCGACCCGTCGCTCGCGACAGCCTGTGCAAGCGCTCCTTGCACTCCAGCGCCTTGAGACGCGGAGAATATTGATGGTGCGACATCCGTCATGGTGAGCGCCGGCCCGGGAGCGCCGAATGCGGAAGAAATGGGTTCGGGAATGTGCGCACTAAACAGTTCGCGCGTTGAGAAGGGCGGCGCATACGGGGGTGACTTTGGGGATGATGACAGAGAGGAAGCGGCGTCGGGCGACTGGAAGGTGGGTGAGCACGCGATACGGTTTGGGGCTGAAGCCAGAGGGCCCACCGTATTGCAAAACGCGTCGGATTGAATCTTTGAAGACGGACGCCCCTGGACGTGTGCGTCTCGAGAAGCCGAGGATGGTCGGGTGGATGTCGCCAAAGGTTGGTCAGCGTCTGAGGATACTAGATGATGGATGGTCGTAGCCATCGCGTTATTCAAAGGATGCCCCGGAGCCTGGAATCTACGCGAGATTCCCAAAAGCGCGGAGCTCTCTATTTCGCCAGTATGAAAACGCGCATACCAATCCGCGTTTGCTAATCGCGGCGCGCCCGAAGTGCGCGCATCCCTCCTTGACTCTGTCTCCTCGGCTGCTGTCTCAGTGCCGACCCACCCGCCCACAATTTTACTCGGGCTGGCGCTCGCATTCGGTGTAGGGTTGGGCTTGTGTTGGATGGGCTGCGAGATATGGTCCGAGCGAGGGTGTCTCACCGTGTGCGCGCCGATGCTACGCGCCATAGCCGGGGTGTGGCTATGATTCTGAGAGCCGTCCCAGTTGGCCAGGGACGATTCGACCATTGCACGCAGTGAGGGTCAGATTGGGGACACCGTCTTAGAGCACGACGAACTAAAGCCTCGCTGATGGTGCTTGCATATGTTTGTCCGTGGCTATAGATTTGACCAATCAATCGATCTGAGCTCTCTGGACTATGTAAATGTGGTTCGGGCTTTGGGCAGTTCAACCCTCCGATTTTTGGCGTGGCAAAACAAAGAACACGCTGGTCGGCCGAGCCCCACAATTCTAGGTTAGAGAAGAGAGCTCGCATCAATTGGAAAAGATTCTCCGAGCCTGAACGGATCGCATGTAATAATCGCAATCTTGTTTGCTCTGACATCGATGTTGCGAGCGTTGAAGATCTGCATCCTTATTTCATCTTCTGAAACGGACACGTAATTCATGCAGTAACTTTTTTTCGTCCGAGCATACTTAGTGGAGCATAAGTGTCGTTAAAACCAATAAAAGGGAGGGGTCAGAAGATAGCCGGAGTTGTGCGGCGGATAGATGAGTCAATTGGGCCACTAGAGAAGGGTGCAATGAAGAAAGACCATATGCGAATGCGCCGAGAGCTGAAGCCGTACCTTGCTTCCGGGCCGGCGGCCCGAGTTCCCCGCGGCCCGGATCTTGCCCACTTCTCCATGCTTAAATACCCTTGTACCCCAGCTTGATGCACAAATTCTCCACTTTCCCCGTTCTCCTCCCAATTCTTACCTAGCATTTCGAAATGGTCAAGATCACCTCCTTCGAGATCCACGGTGCGCTCCCTCGACGCCAGTCGTTTGCCCTAGCTGATCTTTCTCGACAGATGTGCGATTCCCCACATCGCTGACAGGAGATGGAACGGATGCGATGTGCGTTATGTTCCCCGTAACGTTTTTTCTCTGCGCTGACCTGTGCATAGGAACACCGAATGCGATTACTCGTCTGCCTACGTCTCCCTGTTCACCGACTCTGATCTCGTCGGGCACGGCATGACCTTCACCATCGGTCGCGGCAACGATATCGTCTGCACCGCGATCAAGGAGGTAGCGAACCGTCTCGTTGGTAAAGACATCGAGTCCTTGTTCTCTAACATGGGTGAGACGTGGGCGTTCATGCTGAGCGACCCTCAATTGCGTTGGTGAGTGCATGGCCGTCTCTGTCTACCCTGACTCGATATACTCATCACGCCTTTCAGGATTGGACCTGAGAAGGGTGTCATCCACATTGCGTCGGGTGCGGTGAACAACGCTCTGTGGGATATGTACGCTCGGTCGCGCAACAAGCCGCTCTGGAAGCTGGTTGTCGACTTCACGCCCGAGGAGCTTGTCAGCGCCGCTGCATTCCGATACATCACCGATGCCATCACAAAAGAGGAGGCCTTGGCGATGCTCAAGGAGCGCGAAGCCGGAAAGAAGGAGCGTGAAGCTAAGGTTCGGGAACTTGGGTAAGTCGCCTGACACCGCATAGATCCGGTTTTGTTCTCATGACTGGCTTACCAGATACCCTGCATACGTGACTTCCGCCGGATGGCTTGGATACACCGATGAGAAAGTGGCTCGTCTGACCAAGGAGGCCGTCGCTGCCGGCTTCAACCACTTCAAGATGAAAGTCGGTGCCGATCAGGCCAACGATCTGCGTCGCGGAAAGATCATCCGGTCTATTATCGACGACCCTCAGTACTTGCCTGCGGGCCACACTCCCCTTGATCCCAACAGCGAGGCTCTGCGCGGGAAGAACGCCGGTCCGCTGGGTGCTGTCCTCATGATCGATGCGAACCAGGTCTGGGATGTGAACCAGGCCATTGACTACGTCAAGGGACTGGCTGAAATCAAGCCCTGGTTCGTCCATTCCACTGATTCTTGCTTCTATCCCAGACGCTCAAGACCCACCACAGGTTCATCGAAGAGCCCACTGCACCTGATGACATTCTCGGTCACGCTGCGATCCGCAAAGCACTCAAGCCCCACGGGATCGGTGTTGCCACCGGCGAGCACGCCCACAACCGGATGGTCTTCAAGCAGCTCTTGCAAGCCGAGGCCATCGATGTTGTGCAGATTGACTCGTGCCGTCTCGCTGGTGTCAGTGAGGTGCTCAGTGTGTTGCTGATGGCCGCCAAGTTTGGTGTACCAGTGTGCCCCCATGCTGGTGGTGTGGGTCTATGCGAGTATGTCATCCACTTGAGGTGTGTTGTTTCTCTGCATGCTTGATTGTTTCATTGAGCGGACATTCCAGTTTGATCGACTACATTGCTGTTTCTGGCACGATGGAACGCAATGTGCTCGAGTTTGTCGACCACCTGCACGAACACTTCTTGTACCCGTGCTCGATTAACTCGAACGGGCGGTACAATGTGCCCGGTAACGCATCGGAGGGCTACAGGTGTGTCACTTTTTTCTCTCGTGTCAGCCAAATCTAACGCATATCGCTTCCAGCATCGAGATGCACAAGTCAAGTATTGCTGAATTCGAGTGGCCTCACGGATCTTATTGGGTTGGTGCGCGCAGCAAGGCTGCCTAAGCAAAACATAATCATTGTGTACTTTTTATCCACTATCCTATATAGAACGATGGAAGTTGTATTCTAATCCACCAAAAAGATCGAGTCCAGGACAGAGAATCCAGTCGCAACGCCGCCCTCGTTGCTGTCCTTGCCTTTCGTCCGAACCAGCCATCCAACGTCCTTCTCCTCGATCTTTCCGTCTGAGCCTCCAAATAACGCCCATCCGAAGATTCCCAGCTCGCTGACCACATCGGTTCTCACTGCCCCACCCTCGCCCCCGCCCGCTCGCACCAGATAGCCCCCGACATCGGGCGGGCGGATCAGTTGCATCGCAATCCACGCCTGTCGTTCAGGAGCCGGGAGTGCGTCAAGAAAAGCCGGAATCGCCTCCTTGTACACATTGTTCCCTCCGCCCTCACGTTGAGGCTTGAGCACCAGCATGTCCGCCTCAGCTCGGGCTCGTTTGACCCCGTCCTCTGACTCGCGCCCCTCATCTAGCCCCCACATCTCCATCCAGCTGTTGCGCATCTCGTCGATGGCTGCGGAACTGACTACGCCCCCCAAAAAGCGCTCGGCGACGCCCGGCTGGGCGAGCACCTGCTGCACTTTCTTTCCACCCGCAAGCTGCAGAGCGATCGACGGGCATTTGACAGCTTTGGAGCTCTCAATCAGGAAGCGCGTCGTGTACTGCTGGGCGGACGGATAGTCGGTCGGCGTGTACCCTGCCCGGAAATACACAACCGATATCTCTGAGCCGAGTACAGTGAGCACGCGTGATGCAGATTCGACTGAGGCGTTGGATGAGAGCTCGTCGAATGTTTGTCGAACGACGTGGATTGAATGCCTGATGATGTGGTCAGCCTCGCCTCCAAGAGTATATGTGCGGACCTCTCGAGTAGCTCGTATTCTAAGAATCGCTGATCGAAGACGTTCCGCTCTCCGGGCTGAACGACGAATAAGATCCGGGAACTATCCAGCAGGTATTAGCATGGAGTGGAGGTTCTAACGCTAGAACATGCCTTTCGACTCCATAGGCAGCATGAGCTGCGGCAAGACCTTCGACGAGACCCGTCGTCGTCGTATTTGCCGGGAAGTCCTCCGTTTTCATACCCGGGTGTAGGTCATAATATGAGGTAGTCGCATGCAGATATCTGGACAGTATGAGCTGAAAACCGCGTGCAATGGGATTCCCCAAACCGGTGTAACGCCGCCGTGCGCTCAGAAAGGGCACCGAAAGAGGATGAGATCGTATTGAACTCGACTTGCTTCAGCTCCAAAGGAGACTCGGGAGCAGTGCAATGCAGCAAGTAGTCTGAGCGGAACAACCCAAGATGCAGCGGCTGATCGCAGCCAAGTTCAGTGGTCATCTCCGGCCAGATTGATCCCTCACCTGCACGAGGCCGCCCTCATCGCGGAGCTTCTTCCAGCCCGTCCACAACTGCCCCACGAAATCATCGACCTTGCCCACACCGTCCACCGCACCCATGACCCGATCCAGGAACTCCTCGTCCATCGCGATGCGCGCGTAGAGAATGTTGTACGTGCTTTGCAGCCGCCGGGCATGATTGTAGAGACTGCGGGGAAAGGGTGACGGGAAGAGCGCCAGCGGCGCGTGGATCGCTGAGTTCGGGATCGCAGGCTGCGGGACAGATGCCGGCAGATACAGCAGGCCATGCGAAAGAGCATACGACGTTGCGTACAGCGTCAAGGCCGCAGCTTGCTCATCTGATAGTGCAGGCGGCCAGTCAGAGAAAGAAAATGGGTTCGAGGCGGCCATCAGCTTCAAGGTAGTGCAGTGAATAAGGGCAGGCTGGGATCGAAACAGATGATAAATCCACTAGCTGAGTTCAGATAAGATAATCCTTATCCGCATGATCACAAAGCGTGTTCCTTCTCTGACGTGATGCCATCCGAGTAGAACGGTCAAGCGCTCGCTCAGGCAGATTGCAAATACCATCTTGAAGGCATCAGTTTGCCCCAGCTCTGACAGAAACTTCAACGCGCAACAGCTGCTAAGCAACCTATGGCCTCCCACTTGCACCCCCGCAGAACGCTCAAGCTGCTTCAGCTCGAGCGCCACCTCAGCCGCGAAAACAAGCGGTAGTCGGATCCAGGGTATGAAAGACGTGCGGAGGGAGGTGGAATTATGCCGGCACGAGGCTTCTCGGGTATGAAGCGCGTTTTTCGCGCGTATCAAGCGGTATAAAAGAGCAGCCAGCCGCGGATGAGCCCATGGACTGCCACAAACCACGCACACTGCCTGCGGAAATCGAGGACGCCATCATTGACTTCTGCCACGCCGACCGCGCGACGCTCAAGACATGCAGCCTCGTCTGCAAAGCATGGCGGCCCTCGACCCGTTTCCACCTTCTTTTCGCTGTGACTCTGACGCCTCAAAATGCTGCTCGCTTGGGCGACCTTGCGCGCGCTTCCCCAGAAATTGTTTTCTTCATCCGCATTGTTGAGCTGCGCTTCGCCAACGAGGACCTCTCGGGTCTAGTGCCACTATTGAACCTCATGTCCCGGGTCGAGTGTCTGCAGCTGACGCCGCTGCGGGATCAAGTCATGCGAGACGCAAGCTCGTTTGCCCTGCAAACTGTGCTGCCGATCATGCCACTGCAAAAGCTCGCATTCGGCTTCAGATCGAGATTCGAGTCCTTGCAGCAGGTGGTCGACTCGGCGCGCCGCTGTCCGCAGCTGGAATCACTAGAAGTTGGCGGGAGCTGGATGAAGTGGGGCAGCATTTCGGGACCAGCGCAGCTGCCGGCGACTCTGCGCCGTCTCACGCTGACATGTGATTTGGACAACTTTTTGGCGTGGTTCATATCGCTTGGGGACACCATGCCGGAGATCCAGAATCTCACGCTGCTGCACATCACGCGTCGTGAGGTGCCCAGAATCGTGAGCTATCTCCGCAAGGCGAGCTCGTTGAAGTCGTTGGTGTTGTCTTTCCGAGACTTCGACGCACCTGGTCGGTGCCTTCTCTCTTCGCTCACCCGGGCTGAAGCTGATCTCATGTTCTCAGCTGTGTTTGCAGCAGACGTGGATTTCTCTCTGAACAGAGAACTTGAGCAACTGGCGATTGAAGGTGCAATACCGGGGCTGCTGGAATGTTTCGAGATTCTTCTTCCCCAGTTATGCGACTCAGAGGCACTCGTGCGAATCGAACTTACTCTGCGAGTCCGCAATATCCTTTTAGCTCGGAACCTTTTCGATCTGTATGAATGGGAAGCCATGAACAGTCTCCTCAGCGGAACGACGAAGCGTCTGGCCCTTCATGCTCTCGAGCCGCTCTCTCGCGAGCCGGTTCCAGAAGTGTTGGCTTGCATACTGGACCATCTTCCTGCCGCGAAGCCACTGGCCGGAATATAAAAAGTACTTACATACAATATCGACGTATGGCATTGACTCTGAGTACTTCCTCGATACATAGTAATATTACACTTCTTGGCAGGCTCGATCTGCTTAGATACGGTCAGTAGATTTCCAGCAGATCTCCTGCGAACTGCTCCAGCCCGATCACCCGGAAACGACCCGTGAGCTCTGACCCCACTGGCTGTGTCCACTCACTAAACTCGCGCATCCAGACGCGACTGAGGCCGTCCTCCCAAGCATACAGCTCGACTCTCCAGCCTTTCTTCAGTGCTGTCCGGACAGGCCCGATGAAGCCATCTTCATTGAACTGGCCGATGTTGCCGTCCCCCGTGGCCAGTACGATGGTGGAGCCCGGAGGCGGCGGCCCGTCGATTGCCGCGAGTGCCTGATGCAGCTTGAGCTGCAGCAACTCATCGACGCCTTGCTCCCTGTATTTGATCTTCCCTGCTCCTGGCGACGAGGAGTATGCGTGTAGACCGGCGAGTCCGTTTGATGGAACTGAGGCAGAGACAGCTGGGGGCGTGTGTCTCGGCGGGGAGGACGACAACATCACTCCCCCGCTGAGCCCCAGGCTACGGACGAACGCCTGCGGGAACGCCTGGAGATTGCCCTGCTCGCTCTCGTTCGAGGTGCTTTCCGCCGAAGTCCGTCGGATATGCTTCTTCCCTCTGCGGGAACCTCCCGAGTCGCCTGACGCGCTAGTGATTATTCCCCCGCTCAGACTGCGGGTGTGCCCGTGTCTGGGGCCATGTCGGTCCTGGCCGTCTCCAAGATCGGGCACTCGAGCATACACTCGCACTTCATATCCTAGTCGTTCCGCACTCTCCATCGGTTGATACAGCGGACTCGAGGCCACCAGCACCCGGCGCGAAATGGCTCTGCCTCGCTCAAGCACCAAGGCCAGAGCGGTGTGGGAAAGATGTCGCGACTTCGAATGTGGCTTGGACGGTGGGAAAGTCATCATCGTCGGCATCGGAGTAGCTATGTGCGTAGTCGCGTGCGACGACGATGCCGCAGTCGTCGCATTCTGTGGCATTGTGCGCGGATTGCGCTTGAGGTGGGTAAGTAGCCCGATAAGTATGTTGGAATGGTCGATAAAAACATGGGTTAGAATATCCTTTTCTCCGGGTGGTGGTCCACGGGGATCAATAAAAACATGGTCGCCATCCATGCGCAGACGATGGGGAAGCTCGGCGTCAGACGGGATGAGGCGATCAAGACTGGCTGCATCCGCGGGGAAAGCCTTAACGAGCTTCTTCACCAGTACGCGAAGTTGAGTCAGCCGCGCCGGATGTGGATGGGACTCATACACCTGTGGAAGCACACGAAGCTGGGGTGTGCTCTTGCTGTGGACAAGCACGCGGCCCGGTGAGACAGTGAGTGCTTGCTGTTGTTTACGTCGCTCTCGACGAGATCGCGCCGGAGTCGGCGGAACAGATTTGGGGTTGGTAGATGTCGTTGTAGTCGTTGTGGTTGTGTAGTCGTATGAGGAGGATGAATCATCCGCGTCTTCTGCCGCTAACAATTCTCCTTCGGCCGCAAGCTCGTCGCGGGAGGCTCCTTCGCTCTTAATGTTCCTTGTGCGCTTTCTTCGTCGCTTTCGGCGGGGTTCTTGAAAAATCCATGAGTAAAAGTGAAACATCGCCGGAACAGTAAACAATGATAGCGTTTCGCATGCAGAATTGCACATAGAGAGATGGGATGCATGAAAAGAGGTAAAGCTACATACCGCCAGCATGCTTCCATGGGCCGTCATTCCCACCAACATCAGCCTCGCGCCGGGCAGTCCATCGTGCACGCTCCGAAGCGAGAAAACTTAGCGCATCGTCGAGGAGACCTAACGACGGTTGCTCCAAGTCGAGGTCTTCGAGGTCGGATAACTCGAATTCCATTGGCACACCCGATTCGTCCAGCTCTGCGGCACCCTCTGTGTTGGATCCTGAGCCTGGGCTAGGAGAACGTCGGTCAGTGCTCGTCGCGGCCGAGATGCTGTTCAGATACGAGGCGATGGGGCCGTGGGTCCACACAGTGGAGCCGACCAATAGCGATCCAGAGGCGTCGTCTGACTCGAGCTCCATGATGGACTCGGAAGAGGTTGAGACAGAGGTGGAGTACTGCGGCCGGTGTGTAAATGTGCGTGTTGGCTGCAGCTGATTCCATGCATGGAACACATTGACGAAGGCTCCCAAGTCGGGTTGTTCTGCACAAGTGGTAAACACATACGGTCAGGGGGAGGTGGGCCTCGTTTTATACCATCAGAAGTGGGTTCACTGGGTACCGAAAAAGAGGAGAAAGGACTGATAGGGCTTGTCGAAGCGGTCGTTTCCGAGCTGGATTGTATCATCATAACAAAAATAAGAATAGAGCCTCCGAGAGATGAGGCAAGCCAGAACGTGTTAAAGGCGTGCGCCGAGTAAGATTAGTAGCATGTCACGCCGGGTGTCACAGCTCATTTTGGGCATAGCTGTCGTCCTAAACGGGCGATCTGCGAAAGCCCGTGATGAGATCACTAGTTACTATGTCCTCCCAGACTCTGTGTCGTCACCTCCATGGTCTTTCCCGGGCAGGCCTCGGCTCAATCACTCGTTTCCGGTTTAACAGGCAGCTCCTCCGTTCCCGACGATACAAGAGCCAAAGTGCACCGGTGCATGCGTCCGATGCGCCGCTCAGAAGATCCTACCTCTATGTTCCTGCTTCTTCCGATCGAATGCTCCAAAAGTCGCTATCGAACGATTCAGACATGATTATATACGACCTAGAGGACAGTGTACCCCCCACTGCGCTGGACAAGAGCTCTGCTCGCGAACGTCTGTCCAAATTCCTCTCAAGGGTATGGTTACGACCATCTGGTGATCCTGCGTTGTTCGCATGTTAAAGTGTCGGATAGCCCGACCTGCCACCCAGAGAACGCGTTTCTGTACGAGTCAATGGGGTGACGACGCCTTACTTCGCGGAGGATATTTCCAAGATCGTAAATCAAGCACATTCCTTGCCCTAAGTCTATTCTCATCTCGCTCAAGCTGGCTTCGGGGGCTGTGGGTGGCCTAGTACTTCCAAAAGTGCACTCGGCCGAGATTCTGGATACTGTCGAGATGTCCATTCGTGAAGCTAGTGGAACGGCCGGCGCTCCCATCAGATTGGTTGCCAGCATTGAAAGTGCACTGGGAATGTGGAATCTTAGAACGATTGCGCCGTGGAAAGCTGGGGGCGGTCAGAGAGGAAGTTCTCTGTCTGCGTTACTGGTAAGTAGGGCCCCTTCTTTCCAGCTCGTACTCATTGAGGTTGTAGTTTGCCGCTGAAGATTGTGATCCGTTTGTTCTCAAACCTTTCTTCCTTTGACTGATGTAGCCACAGATTGTGCAGATACTGGGATATTGCGATCGTCGTCCAGGACGGAGTTGCTGACCACGCGCTCCTCGATCGTCATTGCTGCGAAAGCCTTCGGCCTCGAAGCTATCGACATGGTGACTGACCTTTTGAATTCTCTAGATCGAATACTGATGTCGAGTTCCAGGTATGCGTGCAGTATAAGGACCTGGACTACCTGAAAGAAGAATGTCAAGACGGTCGTCGATTAGGCTTCACCGGCAAGGCCAGTGCTTCTCGCATGTTCTCCCACGAACTCATCTCATATCATGTTCAGCAAGCTATTCATCCGACGCAAGTAGATACCATCCAATCGGCCTTCGTCCCGACATCGGCCGGTAAGCCTACCTTCGTCTGAGACTTTTCTTGGGCGTTGAAAGGGTCAAACAAGAAATCGAGCGTGCGGCCAAGATAGTTCATGCAATGCAACGCGAACATTCACTCAATCGTGGCGCTACAGGACTGGAAGGAGAAATGATCGACCAGCCCATGATCCTACAGGTGAGCGATCTTACGGCCCATCTTATAGCCATGTCCACATCAGCATCGTAGGCGGAAAGAATCTTGCGACTCGCGCGCGCTGCTAGTCTACATATTCCCAAGGTTGATTGAGCCTTGTTTGTCACATTCTGTACTATCATTCGATGCGATTGCTTCACATCTCTGAAATGCTCACTTATATGCTGTGTAAATAACCCGTGCGCTTGTATTTCACCAACCTTCTTTCTCGCGGCCTAATTTTCATCCCGCCGTTCGGTCGCCGACTCGCCGATGGGAGACAACACATGACGAACATCTTGGCATACCGCACTTGATCATGAGCTTGTATCTCTACGAACTACCGACTACTGGTGCCATCTCATTCTCCGAGTTTTGCTCGGACACTACTCCGGACAACGCCCACACGATCCATCTCTCAGACACGACTCAGACGCGTGCCAATCTACGCGGTATCCTCAAAGAAACCAAGCGAACGCAAGATGACGATAAGGACTACTTGAGGCTCGTCAAGGTTCTATGAACTGCGCTACATAGACTTTCACGAGGGCTGATCGTTGTCAGGTTCTTGACGAATACCTTCCGAAGCTGCGAGGGATCATAGTCTGTGTCGCTGGGAAAGAGATGGAGCTGAAATCGGAGCCTAGTAAGTATGGCTTTCTAGACAGTCTCCGCATGACCCACTGAACAAGGACCAAGCCTTTAGTTGGCGTACGACGCTCTCTGCTAATCTCTTCAAGACTTCGCCTCGTCTCTCGATCCCCTCCCTACACGGGGAGCACGCCTACTCACTATTGACCTACGCTTACGCACTGTCGAATCTCGCCAAGGCAAAGACGACTGCCTTGGGAAACTATGAACATGATCGAGGGATCTCCGACGCAGATCGCAAAGCGAAGGACAATCAGCTCACGGTTTCCGCCGATCTCCTGTGTCGAGCAAGCGGCGTTTTCTCGTACATCAGTACCACGGTATTGATAGAATGGGAGAATGCACATGTTGCATCTGCTGGGGATCTGACGAAGCCCCCGGATCTTACCCAGGAGGTGAATAGCGCCCTGGCCAAGTATGTCTTCCGATCGTGCGATTTCGCCGCCTCACGTCGCTCAGGCTGTCTTTGGCCGATGCTCAGACCCTGGCCATCCGCAAGCTACTTTCCAGATCTATCTACGACAGCTATGTTGCCCCTGGCCCTCCCTTGCCGAAGTCCCATCCCTCCCCAGCTCTCATATCAAAATTACACCTCGAATGTTCTTCGTTGTATGGATCTGCTCTGACATTATCCAAAACCTTGGGTAGCACGAGCAAAAGCAGATTCAAGCCATCCGACGAGGTGTCGTCTGATTTGCGACGTTATCTCACAGACGAGGCTGCCTTTCACAACGCGATGGCTCACAAATGGCTTGGGATTGACGCTGGAGAGAATGGAGGAACAGACCGTGGTGGAGAAGCTGTGGCACTCTTGGCTTGGGCGAAGAAGGACCTAGAAGAGCTCAAGAGTCGCAGGAAGGACCGAGTAATTGAAGAGTTGGCAGGCGTGAATGTGTTCCTAAAGCATTACAAGAAGGTCAACGATTCTGTAAGCCATCCGCCCCTGATGACCTCCATCCGCTCAAGCGCATCCAAGCTACATTTCCAGCCCGTGCCAACACAATCAGAGCTCCAAGTCCGGATACCCGCAGGTCGATTGGTGCTTTCTCCCAAGCCTTTCCAGGCACCGCAACCCGCTTTTGGCCCAGGTTCAATAGACGGGATACGTCGTCAGACAGGAGAACTGGAAGTGGACGACGGCCCAGCCTCAGCCAGCTATGCTGGAGCAGGCTCCTACTTCTGAAGTTGTCTTAGATGCCTTGCCAATGATACAACACAGTGCCCTGTATATTTGCTCATGAGCGTGTGATCCAGCCGCCATACATTCACTTGCCGTGCTGTTGCTTTTTTGGACAACTTTTCGATTCACTAGTGCAATTAGGCATTTGTTGACCCGCGCCTGGTTGAGATCGGGAGGTGATATGAGATCGGTCACTGTGCACCTTAGTTAGTAGTTCCTTCGAGAGCAATCTGTAAAATTACGTTTGACAACTCGATTAGATGCATCGAGGAGGCCCTCGATAACGGATTCCATGTTCCGACGCAGATTCTGAGGGTATGGTACATGAGGCACGGCTGCAAGATTGCTGTAGTACTCACAGGATCGCTTCCACGGAACTCCAACGGCAAGCATGCGATCACCTTCTCCACCTCAATCTAGAAAGTTCAGCAAGTAAAACAAGGGTACAAGTCAGGAGACGTACACTGCGCTCTTTCTTCTCTTTGGCAGTCAATTTGGGTTTCCCGGCCTTTTTCTTGACACCTGGCCTAGACAAAAGTGCTGAAGTGGTGTTTCCTACAGCAAATGTTGTATCCGTGTATGTTTGTTCGAACGCCTCCGCTTCTCGTGCGGATGCTTCGCGTGCGGCAGCTTCCCTTCGTTCCGCTTCAATGGCAGCCGCACGGTTTGCTTGTTCGATCGCTTCCATCGCTGCTTTTGCGTCACGTTCTGCAGTCTTTTGAGCGATGATACCAAGGTTGGAGTGAGTGTATACCAGCGCGGCGCTTGGCGAGCATGAACGAGGCTTCAGATGGAGCCTATGCAGGCTGAATGAACCGCCAATGATAGGTGATCGAACGCGCGCACCTGAGGCCAATCTATCGTCAGAGAGTTCATATCCATGACATAGAGCCAGCTTGCGAAAGATTCGTTGAACTTGGCAAGCGACTCGCTCAATTGTCTCATGCCCTCGGTGACGCTGTGCATATGGTCCGTTTCATCCGCTAGTTCCGAGAAAGCGGCATCGAGGAAGGCCAAGCCAGAAACTTGAGAATCAGGATCTACAGTCGATTTCCCGAACAAAGAGTTCTGAGAGACGCGTCGAAGGGGTGTCCGTGGTACTTGCATCGATGATGGTAAAGGGAAAGCCGCGTCGCGTCAACTCAGTGTGAAGTCATCATCGTGCATGTGGCTGTGCACGTCAATCATCCATTACTCTCCCTCGCATGTCCTCCGAGCTTGAGAGGTATATCAGCGACAACTCTCTCCAGGTTCTTTATGTTTCTGAACCTCAGTGACGCCAACTGACGCCAAATATTAGTTGTTCGGCCTCTCAGATCGTAGTATCATCGACTATGTGTTGGCTGCAGGTGTGTCTGTCGTCGAACATGTTGTCTGACTCGGTACTAACTCGAACCTACCCAGCTTCTTCCGCCAAGTCTCCTGAAGCTCTGCTGTCCTCTCTTAGCGCCGCTGGATTGCCAGATACACCAGACGCTCACGCTTTTATCAATGAAGTGTACCAGCGAGCACCGCGCAAACATAAGCATAAGCGCTCGGCAGCGGACAGTGCTCGCAGACAGGCCGAGAAAGACAACAAGGTCATTAGCTCGCAGAAATTTGGATTCTTGCTCGAGGACGATGGTGGTTCCAATGATGTCGTGCCGCTGAAGAAGGAGAAAAAGGACCGGTCTTCTGGGAAGGACAGGAAGGACAGGCATACGCGCAAACGGGAGCATGATGACAAGGAGTGGGAGAGCGATGAAGATGAGAAGGCGCGGAAACGCATGCGAACGGATGAGGACGAGAGTCGGGCTTACGAGCAGGAAGAGGATGTGGATTTGGGGGAGGACGAGGTGACACGCAAGGAGCGTGAACGAATGGAAGATCTCCGAGACCGCGATGCGTTCGCAGAGCGTGTACGAGACAGAGATCGTGAAAAGACGAAGAAGGTGGTCGAGGATCGTTCATCGAAGGACAAGGGTGCTGCGGCCGAGGCAGCACAGCGACGTGCTCTCGCAGATGACACCGAAGCACGTATCCTGGCCATGCCCTCTCTCCGGCAGCACTCTCGGCAAGAGTATCTAACGAAGCGAGAAATTCAGCAAATCGAATTGCTTCGGAAGGAGATTGCGGACGACGAAGCCCTTTTCAGTGGCATGAAAATTTCGAAGCGGGAGAGGAGGGAGCTGGATCACAAGAAGGAGCTTCTCAAGTTGGTCGAAGAAAAACTCCGAATCAACGACAAGTGGGAGGGGTATCAACTTCCTGAAGACTATCTCACAGAACAGGGAAAGATCGACAAGAAGAAGAAGGAAAGTGCTTTGTATCAGCGTTACGAAGACGCAAAGCCAAAGGACGATCAATTCGTGACGGATGTAGACCAGTGGGAGGCCAGTCAAACACAACATAGCACCTTCAAGTCCGGGGCAATGGACAAAGTTGAGATCCAGGACACGTACGATTACGTTTTCGACGAAAGTCAGACGATTAAATTCGTCATGGACTCTGCTCTGCCCGGTAACAAGCGTATGACTGCTGCAGAGAAGCTGTTACAAGATCAGATCGATGCTGCCGACAAACGAGGTACGACATGGGTTCTAACGATGAATTGTACTGAACGCGTCTTGCAGCCAAAACAATTGAGGAGACACGTAAAAATCTACCAGTCTACCAGTACAAGGAGGAACTCATCCAGGCTGTTCGGGACAACCAGGTTCTGATTGTTGTCGCCGAGACTGGGTCTGGCAAAACAACACAATTGCCGCAGTACCTGCACGAAGCTGGATTCACGGCCAATGGCCAGAAGATTGGTTGCACCCAGCCTCGGCGTGTTGCGGCCATGTCTGTGGCTGCTCGAGTGGCTGAAGAGATGGGCACCAAGGTCGGCTACGAAGTCGGATATTCGATTCGATTCGAGGACTGTACGAGCGATAAAACGGTCCTCAAGTATATGACCGACGGAATGTTACTACGAGAGTTTCTCACGGAGCCAGATCTTGCCGGTTACTCAGCACTTGTCATCGACGAAGCTCACGAAAGAACTCTCAGCACGGATATCTTGTTCGCCCTTGTCAAGGTTCGTTTGAGTGATTGTGATGTTGTCCTTCTGATTGTGCTCTAGGACATCGCTCGATTTCGACCTGAGCTGCGGTTGTTGATCTCAAGTGCGACACTTGACGCGGAGAAGTTCAGCGAATACTTCGATAATGCTCCGACTTTCTACAGTAGACCCTTCCTCGTCGATCTTGATTGACTTTCTCACGTTTCATAGTTCCTGGTCGACAATTCCCGGTCGACATCCACTACACTCCCCAACCTGAAGCCAACTATCTCCACGCTGCAATCACAACTGTATTTCAAATTCATACGACTCAACCCAAAGGGGATATCCTCGTCTTCTTGACCGGGCAAGAGGAGATCGAAGCATGCCACGAGAACCTAGAAGAAACGTGTCGAGCACTGGGGAACAAAATCCCGGAACTGATCATATGTCCCATTTACGCCAATCTTCCCAGCGAGATGCAGGCTAAAATCTTTGAGCCCACTCCAGAGGGAGCAAGGAAAGTCGTCTTGGCCACTAACATTGCCGAGACTTCGATCACGATTGACGGAGTTGTGTTCGTTATCGATCCCGGATTCGTCAAACAGAATTCTTATAATCCAGGACGGGCATGTCGTCACTTGTGGTGGTGCCAGTGAGTCTCCACTATCATACTCACCGATCGAAAACTGATTCGATCTCAGTGCTCGCGTGCCTCTGCCAATCAGCGAGCGGGGAGGGCTGGTCGGGTTGGACCGGGCAAGGCTTTCCGCTTATTCACGAAATGGGCTTTCAAGAACGAGCTGGAAGAGAATACAGTTCCTGAGATCCAGCGAACAAACCTGGGCATGACCGTTCTCATGCTCAAGTCGCTCGGAATCAACGACTTGATTGGCTTCGAGTTTCTGGATCCGCCACCTGGCGAAACACTCATGAGAGCTTTGGAGCTGTTGTATGCCCTAGGTGCATTGAATGATCGGGGAGAACTTACCAAACTCGGCCGGAGAATGGCCGAATTTCCCGTTGATCCGATGCTATCCAAAGCTATCATCGCGAGCGAGCAATACGTCTGCACCGATGAAGTTGGTCTCTTTTGGTCACTGAAGATACGGATGGCTGATCAGATCTGCAGGTCCTCACAATCATCTCGATGCTTTCCGAATCCGGATCTCTGTTCTACAGACCGAAAGACAAGAAACTTCACGCCGCCGACCAGGCCAGACAGAACTTTGTCCGACCAGGCGGTGACCACTTCACGCTTCTCAACGTCTGGGAGCAGTGGGCAGAGACCAACTATTCTCAGCAATTCTGCTATGAACAGTTCCTGCAGTTCAAGAGTCTGAGCCGTGCCCGTGATATCCGGGATCAGCTTGCCGGTCTCTGTGAGCGAGTAGAAGTCGTCGTCCAGTCCAATCCGAACTCGAACGACATCACGCCCGTCCAGAAAGCACTGACGGCAGGCTATTTCTATAACACGGTGCGATCGCTCGCCTATTGTGTGACTTCAAAAGCTCATCTCATTCCAGGCTCAGTTGCAAAAGAGCGGTGACTCGTATCGGACTCTCAAGACGAATCACACTGTCTACATCCACCCGTCGTCGAGCTTGTTCCAATTCCAGCCCCCGGTGAAGACGATGCTGTACTACGAACTCGTGATGACATCAAAGTCTTACATGAGGTGAGTTTCTGCCACCAGATCGTTCGTGCTTTATCGACCTTGCGATCAGACAAGTTATGGAGATCAAGCCAGCATGGTTGATGGAAGGCGAGTGACGTCATGTCATGCGTATCTCATGTGACTTATCTATCCCGGCAGTTGCCCCTCATTACTTCAAACCTGCGGACTTGGAACAGCTAGCTTCCGGGGACAAGAAGATGCCCAAGGCCATTGGCGCGTCTAGCCAGAGTCGGTCTTAGCGTAAATATGTACAATATACTGTACCATGTGGATTCTTGTTTGGCTGCGCTTACTAAACCTCGTTACTTGCTGAATTGCTCCTACTTGATTGCTTCCACCTTCCACCGTTTGGCTCGCTATGCCTTCCACAGAGGCGCAGAAGATACGGCGATCCACGAGAAGTTGCGACTTTTGTCGCAAAAGAAAAAGTCAGTTGTCGATCGTACTTCCGCAATTGGGGCTCACACGCAGCCTCAAAAGTGAGATGTAAGGTTGTCGTTCGACATGCCGGGACATGAGCTCAGCGGGACGAATAGGCGACGGGCCCCAGCGACCAGGAGATAATTGCTCGAATTGTATCGCGTTTGGATCGGTCTGCTGCTCGTACGTTGGTGCCCAGTCACCCGCCACTCCCTTCGTCTGATGAGGATGGCAGTATGACATACCTGTTAGGAAGCGCGGTCCCAAGCGCCAGAAGAGGTTTGCTCGCGTTTTCTGGAAGACCTGTTGGACCGACTGAAAAATCCGCTATCAGCGAGGATGTCGAAAGTCTGCAGGGAAGGATCGACGCATTGGAGGCGAAACTACGATCCCTTTCCGTCTGCGCTCTGTGCTCTCA